GAATGAAGAGAACCTGGACCATTATTACCCAGGCATCAGGCAGCACAGCTCTGACTTGGACCATTACAGGACCTTAAGCTCACTTTCCTTACTTGTATCAAATGATGACCATCATACTGATAGCCCATTCCTTTGCTTGTGCAAGAGATGGCCTAAATAAATAACTTAAGACTCAAAAAAATAAAATAAAACAAAATGAACTTTACTACTATTCACTGAACAAAGACAAAAATATGGTTCCAAAACCTCAATGAATTCACAATTTAGTAGACAGCAATGAAAGTAACAAAAGTGAAATAAACAGTAAAAATGTAATCAGAAGCTTGCTAGAAAAAAAAAAAAAAATCAGAAGCTTGGTGGAGATGCTGCTTGCCCTGTATGCGGAGAACTGTTGAGGAGATCTGATACTTGAGTTCCCTCTAAAGGGATGAATAAGGGGTTTGGCAAATAGAAGGCAAATGAAAATCACTACACAAAACAAGGCATGAAAACAGGATGAACTGGGGTAGAGCAAAAGATTGGTTTTGATATAGCACACACCTGTGTTGAAATGGCTGGACAATCAGAGGCTAGAACCTCGAACATATTTGGGTATTAAAATAACATATCTGGGTATCTCAAAAAAAGCTACCAGACAAGGAACACAGAAAATAGGCAAAAGATGTAGAGAATTCCCAAGACACAAGATGTTATGTTCAGCAAAATCTAGATTCAGAAAACCTTCCCTCCTAACCTAAAGTGCAAATATGAGAGTATTTAAAAGAAAGGACTATAACATACCTTTGTTGTTCATGCTAGTGCTTTAATTTTTTAGCATAATTTTCCAGTAGCTTTTATACTCACTTGGAAATTCTTATTTCATCACAAAATTTTAGCTCCAGCAGCAGCCTCCACCACAAACACAATGGGAGAGGAATGAGGGAAAGGAGGTACCTCTACCCTTAAATCTCTGTACAAATAACAGCATACTTTATGAGGGAATTTTTTTTTTAAAGATTTTTTTTTTTGTGGTATCAGGGATTGAACTCAGGACCTTGTGCTTGCCAGGCAAGCACTTTTTCCACTGAGTTCCCCGGCCTTTAATGTATTTTAGTACAGGGGCTACAGGGTCTCACTACACATGTTGGACTCATAGTGATCCTCCTGTTTTCAGCCTCCCAAGCACTGGGATTATAGGCATACACCACCATGCCATGCTGGGGATTGAACCCTGGCCCCTGTCCTCTACCTAAGCAGGCGCTTTAGTCTGCTGAGCTATCTGGCCGGCCCTATGAGAGAATTCTTGTTTTAGTCTTTTAAAATATTTTGGGTAAAATACCTAGCCTACCCTTCTATGGAAGTTTTAGCCTAGTAAAATTTTTACAATTCTGTTATAGCTACCCGAAATAATTTGTATTATAAGTTACTGCATTTGAATGAAGACATCCAGCTTTGTTTACACTATCCTTTATTTGTAAATGGGTAATTAAAAAGGAGCATCTTGAGGGTTAAGGATGTGTGAACAGGGTAACCTCAAGGCAAAGAAAGCCTTCTTTCCTTGGGTAAGCACTTCAGAACGACTGCTCCCTGGTCTTTCAAATAAAACCCTTATAGCTCCCCATGTTAAAAATTATAATTCTCGGGCTGGCAAGATAGATCTGTGGATTAAAGATCCTGCTTACACTAGCTTTGGCAAGTGCAGAGACTGCACGAGCCCTGCCCCCAGGGTGGTAGCACATGCTTGTAATTCCAGTGCTAAGGAGTCTGAAAGCAGGAGGATCACCAAGAGTCTGAGCTGTGTAGTGAGACCCTGCAATGACCAAATACCTATCTATCTATATCTATATCTATACCTATACCTATACCTATACCTATACCTATACCTATACCTATACCTATACCTATACCTATACCTATATCTATATCTCCTTGAGTATCTCAGGCAAGTCACTGCCAAAAGTATTACTGTAGAAGAGGAAGATACAACTCTTTTTTTTTTGGCGGAACCGGGGATTGAACTCAGGCCCTTGAGCGCTTATTTTACTGAGCCATCTCCCAGGCCCATAAGACTCTTTACTAATACTGGTTTACACTTTTGAAAAAGGTTCTGAACATCCCATAGGAGATTTATAAACACTAGATACAACTGAGTTTCTGATACAAACACACAACTGATGGTAGCAACTTGAGGTTAAAGAACAAAGAAGACATAGCATGGGCCACAACAAGACAGTTAGACCAGTTCCCACATCTGAATCTGGAGAATTATCTAAGGAGTGCTCTTTTTAAAGATTTTTGTTTTGGGGCCGGGGAGATGGCTCAGTGGAATAAGCGCTTCCCTGGCAAGCTCAAGGGCCTGATTTCAATCCCCGGTTCCGCAAAAAAAAAAAAAAAAAAAAAAGATTTTTGTTTTGAAGAGGATTATTATCATGGATTCTATAACAAAACTTCAAATCTGTAAGTCTATTTTTCTTTCTGGTCTAGTTCCAGTTTAAACTTAATTATCTACCTCAAGAAAAGTATGTAAAAGTGTTCCGTGCAAAACAACTCCATTGTGTGAAACAGGACCCAAAGGAAGGCAATATTTCCAGACCAGGAGTTCTCACACAGGTAATTGTGCTGAGACTAATAGTTAACATACATTGAGTACATGCTCTGTGCTGGACACCTTATAATTCTACAATATTATTTTATCTTTATCACAGCACTAAGGTAAATGCTAAGGTCTTATTTTATAGACAAGGGTGTGAAGGCACAAAAAGATCCCATGCTTTGCCAGAGATCATATATCTAGTATAAGTAGGGAAGTGGTCATTGAACTAAGGCATTCTGATTCTGGAGCCCAACCTGTTAGTTACCTGACCTATTATCAAGACATCTTTGTAGATCTAGAATAGCTTTCCAATAAAAGTAATTTCTTGATCCTATTTACAAATAAAATAGTCTTTCCTAAGGGGAAATAATCAAGGGCATGACTGTCCATGAAAAATGCTGCCTCTATCCCTCAGGTGTTTTTTTGTAGAACAGGGTTGCATGGATCTGATGATGGCCTCCCCAACAATCATCTGGTCCACTCCTTCCCTGAGCAGTAGATGTCTGCTCCGGATGGGACTGGCCCTACTGCCAAAACCTTTCCAAGGGTGTATCCTTAACCAGTCCATATAACCTCATAATTGACATATTTACTTGTCCAGGGATAACTCAGAATCCACACTGGCCCAAAGAAGAAAGTGCAGAGTTCTGTTTATGTAAGCTGGCTGAAGACAAGGTCTTTTTGTTTCAAAAGAGCCCTATGAATAAAGAGGAAGGAGTCAGCAGACAGCTACCTATTAAGAGAAAAATTCATCCTGGGATAGTCAAGCTATAGAGGGACAGACCCAAGAAAATTGTAAACACAGGCAGTGCTGATGACATTGTGTATTTCTAGACAAAGGCAAGACTAAAGTCCAGAACACAGGATTCATTATATGAGGGAACAGATTGATTGATTGATTGATTTTTTTTTTTTTTTCTTTTTCTTGCGGTACTGGGGATTGAACTCAGGACCCTGGGCTTGCCAGGTAAGTGCTTATTCTACTGAGCTATCTCCCTGGCCCAAAAGATTTATTTTTAAGCCAACTTTCACTGAATTTTGATACTTAAAAATAAAATATATTATCACTGAAATATATTAAATCACTCAAATACATTAACTCAAAATCCAACATTTCAAATATTACCAGAAAGGCTATTTACTGTATTTACCTGGGATGCCTACAGTTTTCTGTTCATTGTTGTCTCAGTGTGACTTGCCAATTCTGTTCTCAAACACTTCTACTTTAATGACACCTCTGTCTGAAAATCTGTCTTTCCATTAACATTAACAGCACTACATTTCTACTCCTTTTTACACTAGTGTCATGTCAGTAAATGGATTCTTTACATAATCCTTCCAGGGAGTGTGTGTGTGTGCACATGTGTGTGCATGCACTGAGTGTGTGTATGTGTTTGTTTTCACGTTCAAAGATTGTAAACTCTTTGGAGAAAACTAGTGGTGTGAAATTTGAAAAATTTTGAATTTTACCTTAGCAATCACAGTATAAAATTTAAAAAACTGAGTAATTATAAATTAAATATATGAGATGACTTATAAAACTATTTTGGCAGTTCAATTTTTGTAATTTTAAGTTGCTGTTCTTGCAATTTTAAGTACTTTCTACTTCAAGTCTTTTATGTCAACTGTCAACTGGGATTTAAATAAAAATAGAAATGGTACCTAAACAGCAAGCAGCTTAAAGATATGCATTCATTACAGGAAAATTATGGCTTTGAAAATAAAAGCACAAAGACCTTACTACATGTGTTTAGAAAATAAAAATTTGTAAGGACAAATAGAAAAGGTAGTCTAAAAACTTAGATCCAGGATTTATTAACATAGCAGTAGCTTAAAATACTTCAAATAAACAGCCTAGGTTCTGAAAATTCTCCAGTACCAGACACTCTCATGTAGCAAATGTCCTTTGTTTTATTTTCTTTTAATTTTTTTTATTAGTACAAATTGGTGACACATATTACATTCCTTGTGGGGAACTGGCACAGGCACACAACACAATTAAATTCTTTTTTTTGGGTACTAGAAATCGAACTCAGGACTTTGCCCTTTCCAGGTAGGCACTGTGCCACTGACTTATATCCCCAGTGCCCCAGTTTAATTTTTTTTTAATCCTCTTTCCCTCTCCTCCACACTCCCTCCAGCTCTTGGTCCTCCTCTTTCCTATCTTCTATCTATGTTGTTCCTTATTTATATTTTAGGTGTCTTACATTAAAAAAAAAATGCAATATTTAAGCTGGTGGGTCTGATTTATTTCACTTAACATTATGGTCTCAAAGTCCATTCCTTTTCCTACAAATGACCAAACTTCCTTTGAAGTGAACACATGCAACAATAACCACAGCTTTTATATGGTCACAGGCAATCTAACATGTATCTCAATCTACACAGAGAAACCACCACTAGCACTGTAAAAATAGAAAACACCAACCTCTTTAATCTCATGTAGTTTTCACTGGCAGCAGGACGGCATTCAGCTCTTTGAACCACTATTCCTTCCAATGATAGTTTATCTTGAATGGAAAGAAACAAATATATCAAATGTATTCAAAGATAACATCCATCAGTTCAAGATTGCAATTTTGGCACATTATAGTAATATCAAATATAATGAATAGTAAAAATCAAGGAAAAAAAAGGAATACTATTAAGTTTTTAAGAATATCACTGGTTAGAACAGAAAGGAATTTTCTTGGCTGCTAGCAAACTAGACTCCTGTCAGGGTCTAGTTGCTCTATCCCCTTTCCAAGTACAGCTTTTAAACATTTAGCTCTTTTCTAAATAAAGTGGCTTAAAAGGACATCAAATCAAATATAATTTAAAGAAAATCAATTAATCTATCTGTCTGTCTGTCTATCTAGATAAAGGTTCTCACTACACAGCTCAGACTCGTAGTGATCTTCCTGTTTTCAGCTTTCCTGTGCACCACCATGCCCAGTCTTGGTGGCCTGCTCAGCATGCCCGCAGGTAGGCCAGTATGTCATATGGTACCAAGAATCAAACCCTGGTCCCTGTGTTTGCCTAAGTTGGGGCTTAGTTCACTGAGCCATCTAGCTGGCCTAAGAGTTATTCTTTGAAAGATGAAATAAAATAGAAAGCCCTTAACCAACCTTATCTTGTATAAGGCACATACAATAGGAAGAAAATGCTCAGCTGGGAAGGGGAACCGGCATGGGGGGGCACAGAGAGGGAAAAAAATGAGAAAAGAATAAATGGAAACAGAGCTTTGTAAATGAGTGGGACAGGGGCTGAAGGGGAGGGGAATGGAAAAAAGAAGGATCATGGTAAATCATGTACAGGTACAAATTACCTATGATGAATGTGATCATTATGTATATTTAATTTGTGTGAATAAACTTAAGAATTTTTTTTTAAAACCACAGGAGAAATAGAAAAAGGATTTATAATAAAAGGTAACACCTATTATGTACCTACTGGATATGAAGAATTGTGGCACAATTGTGTGACAGATCTCATTATGTAATACATGCATGAATGTTTCAGGTTTGTACCAGGTTTACTACAATGCAGGAACATACTACTGCCCTTAGAAATAGACATGACTCAATCTATATGTATGAGATGTACCTAAGTGTTGCGAAGAGATTCAGAACATTGCCTGGCTCATTCGGAATGCATTTATGACTTATCTCTTCAGTGTTAATTACTTCATTCTATTAACATCCCATTAACATTAACTATGCAAAGAAGATTATGAGGTGTTGAACACCTGCTATCCCAACACTCTGGACGGTTGAGGGAGAAGAAATAAAAAAATTTGAGCCCATCGTAGGCAACTTAACAAGACCTTGCCTCTAAATAGGCAGGCAGACAGACGGATGAACAGATGACTGGCATTGCAGCTCTCTCAGTGTGAAGTCCCTAAGTTTAATCCTCAGTATGACAAAAAAAAATTTTTTTTTTCTTTTTTAAGACACAATAGTGTCCTCTGTAGACATGTTTACTGGAAGAGACAGGTATTCTGGACAAACTATAGAGTATAATTAGAACCAGTCCTATGTAGCCTATACGAGAAAATCTTCCTTCTTGGGGACTTCTCCTGATTTTGTCTCCAAAAATCCAGGGGAGTCTATATTCTAGCTCCTAAATGCTAATTACAAATACACTGTGTATATTCCATATTTCAGGGTCTCTCAACACACATGGACAACCAACTTTAAGGAAAGGCTATCAGATGACTCAGAAGAGCAATGAGGAGAAGCATGCCTACCTTGTATCAAAGTATTCCCAGGAGGAAGTAATAAAAAAATAATTGTTTTACATTAAGTTTTAAAATATAAATATAATTTCCTCTCATGAATTTAATAAGATTAAAATATTAAATGTTTTGAAAGCAAAGTCAAATCTTATATTCAAGTCTGCTCCTCTGTTGAAGCTGAAAGTTCTAGCAGAAAAATTTATTCACTCATCACAATAACAGCAAGAGCTGGGAAATTTTGTTGTATAAAGTGTCTTAATTGTATGAAGAAAAGTTCAACCCTGGAACATCAATGCCTCTGAAAAATAAACTCAGAACACCATCCCTGAGAATAACACAAACTCAAGTGTTTATTAATGTTTAATATGAAAAGAACTACTTTTAAAATATCGCTAGTAGTTCAATCCCTGGTGCTGCCAAAAATAAAAAAAAATAAAATATTGCTAGTGAATGTTCCCCACTTATAACAATACCTATTCCAGGTGAACAACTGAATTTAATTTTTAGTTAAAGATTTGTTTTTTTTTAAAAATCTTTATTTTTATTTTTTATTAGTTAAAGATTTCTAAGACGGGTATGATGGCTCACACCTGTAATCTCAGCACTCTGGGAGGTGAAGGCAAGAGCATCATATGTTTGGGCCCAGCCTGGGCAACTTAGTGATTTAACAAGGCTCTGTCTCAATGCAGCTCAATGGAATGACCTTGGGTTCAATCACAGCATGGCACAAAAAAAGGAAGGGAGGAAGGAAGAAAGGAAGGGAAAAAGGAGGTTTCTTTCTGCCATCAATCTCCACATGCTACCGAAAAAAGGGAGAAAGCATATTCAAAGCACCTCTACATTTCAACTAGACCACCATTTTCCTTATTATTTTGCAGTCAAGGTCACTCACACAAAGCAAGAGAACTCATTTTCTGAAACTATATTTTCTGTCCACCATACCTTTCTTTCTTTTTCTTTTTTGTGGTACTGGGGATTGAATGCATGACCTTGCGCTCCCGGCCCACACCATACTCAAGTAAAATGGAAAGTCTCATCAGGAAAGAATTCTCCTACCAACTGACTGCTCTTAATCCAACATCAGTTTGCTGCCCTTGTCCCCTTCTCTTTTCAAATAAATTTTAAAAGCTAATTTACATATGATACTGCTACATAAGCATGGTTCACTGGCTCTTTTTAAAAAGTCGATGTATACTTTTTAAAACCTTATGGCAACGTGTTTCAGTATTTCTTTCTATTAAACCTTGGTTTTCTTTCTCAAAACATTTCTTACATTTCAAGTAAAAGTTATTACAGAACCTATTCATTAATATAGGAACCTTATTTAAATCTACTTTGTTGGCTCAATTTGAAAAACGACAAATATTTTAAAAATGATTGTTTTTAATTCTCATACACTTATGAAATATTTACTGATTATGTAAAAGAACATGTAAAGCATATCAGGAATAACAAAAGAAAAATGAAACATGGCACCTGTTCTCAAGGAGCATAGAGTTGAACAGAGACATTCTCAAACATTTGTTCTATGGTACATACTTTATTTTTTAAAGTACATATTGATTACAGAGTAACAGGTTTTACTTTGATATTTTCATATGTATACATAACATATCCTGACCAAATCCACACCCCACTGTCCTTCCCTCCCTTCTTACTCTTGTATCCCTTTCCTCTTTCCTACTAGTCTCTTACTTGCAAATCCCAACTCCACATATGAGATAAAACTCGCAACACTTGTTTTTCTGAGTCTGGCTCATTTTGCTTACCATGACAATTTCCAGTTCCTGAGCTAGTTTGATTTCATGGCTTGGTCACTGTGAAGCTCATCACAATAAGTACAGGATTTTGATCTACATCTAGATGTCCTCTCAAAGCTTCATGTCCTCCCTGATTCAAAGGCAGGGCTTTTGAAAGGTGACTGGCTAATGGGGTTAATAGCTGACCTGCTGTTAGAAGGCAAGTAATGGCCACAAGAGGTAAGTATCTGGGAGCATGACCTGGAAGGGTCCATCTACCTCCAGCTCTTCCTTTTCCTCTCTGCTTTGTGCCTGCCATGAAGTCAGCACCTTTTCCTCCACTCTGCCCTCTACCACACTGTCTTGCCTCAAATCCAGTGGATTATAGACTGAAATGTCTATAAACTGTAAGCCAAAATAAACCTCTCTTCCTTTAATTTGCAGCTTCTGAGTATTTTGTCTCAGTGATCAGAAAGTCATAAGACACATGAGTATGCAGGTATCTCTACAGTATAGTGACGGTAATTCTTTGGAGTATATACTGAGGAGTGATATGGCTGGATCACATGGTGCTTTCTACTCTTAGTGTTTTGAGAACGTTTAACTTCCATTTGTGGAAGCAATAACTTAAATACCCATCAACAGTTGCAGCTTGATTTAGCTATTCCATGTTATATTCCATGTTATGCACACTACAAATAATTATAAGCTTTGTCAATGTAAAACATTTTAAAAACCAGTATGTGCATTTACATTTGCTCTTATTTAATTTTTTCTGTATTTAGTACAGGGTCCACAGGTCCTAAATACATAGATCGGACTTACAGTGATTCTCCTGTTTTCAGCCTCACAAGAGGAGGGATTACAGGCATGCACCACCATGCTCAGTCTCAATCTCAGTCTCAGAGCACCCCGGGGGCAAGGCCAGCACAGCAGGCTGGGGATTGAACCTTAGCCTCTGTGCTCTGCCAAAGCAGATGCTTTAGTGTGCTGAGCTATCAGGCTGGCCCACATTTGCTTTTAAAAGATAAAAAAGGATAGAAATCCCCAAAAAACTTTCACTTTGTCTCAATTACTGATATACACATTAGAAAAATAAATCTTTGAACAAGACTTTTTTAAAAAGGCAGACTAATAATAGGAAAACAGTTTTGATTTCACAGATCCCTTGAAAAGGGTTTCAGAGATTCCTCTATCTAGAGGTCCCCAGATCACACTTTGAGAGGTACAGGTCTAGAAAAATTACAGAACAGGTATACAAATCATTTGAATACAACAGAGGTACTTTTGATACACCTTCATTTACATCACTTCCAGATTAACAAAGCTTTCAATTCCTCACCATTAAATGTAGTGACAGATGCTCATAGCTCTTTATACAGAAGTGGACAGCAGGCTAATCTCTAGCACTCCCACATACTTCTGCTCAAATTATTTGAGAATTTGTTGATGTTAGTTTTAGTAATCATGCCATTTGATTATGCATTATGTAAACTCATTAAATTATGAGTATGCAGGAGATACAGATGTTTCTATGAAAACTAGACCGAATGGT